CCTTATGATATGTTTACTTATTCAACACAATTACGTAAGTATTGACTCATTTAATTCACAGTTAGCAGCATTTGCACCGGGATATCAGGGCATCTAAATAGCTCTCTCTCTCTCTCTCTCTCTCGCCAAAGCCTATAGACTTATATAACGCACTAAAAGCTATTATTTTCAGAAATTTATAGATAATTATATAACACATCGTGTCTTATGTCTGAAAACAAAGCCTTATATTTAAACAGCTGTCCATACAATTCGTTTTGAAATAAAACTTTATATTTTTATTTCACTATTTTTTGCTGTCCTCTCAATCACCGACAGTTAATCCGATACTCAGTCTTATTGCAGATGTTTTCAGAGAAATAACATCTAATATGAAAGGTGTTGTTGAATGGGCTGTGAGGACAGGACTAACTGCCAGTGAGAGTGTCGGCCCATAATGTAATACAATATATTATTTGCAAATAGGCTTTAAGTAATATCAATAAAATTCCACTCAATATGTGAGAAATACTTTTTTAAAATTGGGAATTAAAAGTTATGATTACTTAATGAATAATTGAAATAAATTCATATCAATAATTAGCTATTAATTAAGCTCTTACTTAGAGTTTACACAAATTTTAACACTGTTTTAATGTAATTTAGATTATTTTATAAGTAATTTACAGAAAATTAAGTTTTGTTTCCATATTTATTGCATCCATTGATAGCACCCCTAAGCCAAGTGGGTCTCGAAACCAGTCGTTTCCTCGATCCCTTACAAATACCGGCCGACATCTCGGGACACATACAACTGTCATCCACCTCATCCACCAGTCTCTCTGAACCGACAAATACTGCCGCCTCCCCACCCCATACCTCACCAGCTCTGCCCACCGACACCGCCGTCTTGTCGCCCAACTCGACGTCCAGTCCCAACATAATCGACACAAAACCCATTCTTACAAATAATGGACTCATTGCTAGTGATTCGCATACAGACAATCAAATCAGTCCACCGGACAGTCCGTTCAATTCCGACAGCAATTTAAGTGTCGACGGAAGTGACGATGAGATGGACGGTATGGGCGACGATATGCTGGACATCGGCCGCAGAGACAAAGACGGCAATTGTCTGCGCGACGGCTCACAGACCGGTCACAGTAGTGAACAAACGCCTAAAAAACGCAAACGACGGGTACTCTTCTCAAAGGCACAGACCTATGAACTCGAGCGCCGCTTTCGGCAACAAAGATACCTATCGGCCCCCGAAAGGGAACACTTGGCCAGTATTATACGGCTCACACCTACGCAAGTGAAGATTTGGTTTCAGGTAATCATTTGTTTTTTTGCTTTTCAATGTTTTAGTGGTGATCTAAAAGAAGCCAAGCTATGTTTCTATAAGATTTAAGTAAATTTTGAATATAATTTGTACTTATTATCGAAGTCATTATGTACTGTACTAATAGATATAGTGTACTTTTCAGTAATTACTTAATTATATAAAGTAATTCTAGGACTTTTTCTGAGCTTTTGGATAACAATTGTATACTCAGTATTACGAAAAAAAAGTTGTGTGCAAACTATCGTCTTATTCTTACTTACATATGATAGCAGATAAGGGTTTGAAACTGAAATTGAATCGTCAAATGCATACAGTATTGCAAAATAAAGTCAAATAAAGGCGACTAAACATGAAAATATTGATAACAATTGACGACAATTAGTACTAATAATATGCTATTATGTAAAAACTCACTAAAATATACTGCAACTCAGCAGAGATGTGCAGTACTGGTGGGGTTCGGCTTTAAGATTACACGGTATACCGGAGTTACAAAAAAGTGCAAAAGTACTGTATAATACAGTAATATTTTACTAATTGTACCGTGATATTTGTATTGTTAATTTTTAATTATATTTATATAAAAATTCTAACCTTTCGCTAATAATTTAGACTTTAAATTATAATTAATCTATTTAAAATGAGTTGTTAGCCTTACATATTGATTTTGAAACTACTATACACTAGTTTTGTTAAGTTATTGTTTAGAATTGAGAGACAAATACATCAAAGGGAATAGAAAATCAAAGTCTATTCACTGATAAGCATAACGAGAAAAATTGTGATTCAAAACTAGGAATTCATTGATAAATGTGTTGAAATGAGTATATTTTAGTGAAATACTAACTATATATATTTCAGGTACTGTCAGACTTTTGGATCAATGAGTTTGATATGCAATAAGGTTTACTTAAACAAAATCCAAATATTTCTAAATAATATATTTATTTTTTTAAAGTATTACCTTAAAATACAATTAAATTTAATGATTTTAAACGAATTTAGAAAATATATTTTTAAAACAACACTTTATAATAGTTTAATATTCAATTGAATTCTGTATGAACTAATCAGGAACATTTTACGAGATATTAGTAATCAGCATTATACTAATGATTTTTTACTTTTTCTAATATTTCTATGTCTTATATTTTGATTCCGATTGCAAACCAATATTTAAGAAAATATTATCAGAAAAAGATAGCGATTAAAAGTTTTTTGTGTTTGTATGGGGCCGACAATATAAACCGGTACTAATTAGTAGAAAGCGGTGTTTAGATATTTATAAAAAATATTTGATTTAAATATTTAATAAATAATAAAACAAATATAAATATATATGAGAACATTGTATTAAATTCTTGCCAAATATTATGTGCAAATAAATGTTTGCATTATATGTATAAATGCATTTTGTCGTATATTCTTGTGTATGATGTATGAATATAATGCACTACAGCATATACTACAGTATAAGCACAAACTCTGTGACAATATTATCAGAATATTGATCTCAAATGGCTTTTATGTTTGGATTCAATTTTTGTGTGAATAAAAAATGAGAAGAGAGACCAAACAAATGAATAGATCGACAAAAGTTAGATCTATTGATATGGATATAAAACCCTAAACTACACTCAAAACAGATTTTTTGAGAATATAAATTTCTAAATAAAATTCTGTATTAAAGATATTTGAGTATTTTATTTTACTAAATATATATATATATCTCATGTTTGCCATTGAATAACATAAAATATACTTTAATTTTTGCGTAACTTGCAAGTCTTTTTGATTGTATGTTCAGATTTTTGTTAATTTACTTAAAAATATGATTAATTTATTTTATAAATATACTGTACTGTACAATATATTTTCACACTATCATATGCTGGCTTACAAAATTTGTAGAAAATTACAATATTTTGCAACTCAAACAAATAATATCTTATACATGAATAAAATAAAAATGTACATTTTGTGTAATTATCAGAATCATAGGTATAAGACTAAGAGAGCCCGACAAGAGAAAGGACTGGACATGAATCCGTTGCCATCGCCCAGACGTGTGGCTGTGCCTGTACTGGTGCGCGACGGCAAGCCGTGCCAACCCGGCTCACTCATGAAGCCGGGCCACCATCACATGGGGGGTCAGGACATGGGCAACGGTATGCCTAACATAACGGCCGCCGATTTATCTCAACTACCGTCAGGCGCCCAATGCATGCCATCGTTCAACATGAATGCCGTTATGCCGTCAGCCTATGGACACCATCTCATGCATCAACACCCGTGGTGGTAGTGAAGGTGCCGGTGCCTCACTCCTCTTCTATAAGGCACTGGTGTATTGTATAACCCGCTGTTGGGTATAATAGTAGTCATATATACCGTGTATAGTCTATATTATTATAGGTGTGCTTATCATCTTTGATCAAAAAGCCTACACTTTCTTGTGGTAAGCATTTCAATGTATAAACACTTTTTAAAGACACAAACAGACAATTAAATGTTTTTTACATTTAATAATTAACTATAAGAACCAAAAATTTATTTAAATCTTTATTCAGTATTATATTGACGTTATATAACGTTGCATACGGTTAAAGGAATAGAGTGGAAGTGAAAGGTTTTTAATTATTTTTGCATTTAATTAAGCTATAAGTTTTCAAAATTATATCCAAGCCTTACAAACATATAAACATTGAACAAAGTTAGGTATTAATCAAAAATAATTATGCTTTTATTGCTTTAAATCTATTTTAGAGCATTTGCCGTGAACATTATGTTGTATCAAAAAGTTGTCAGTCTTTTAATACTCTATGTTTTAGTTTTTGAATGCAGATATCGTTTCAGAACAAAATAAACGATTTTAAAATTTAATTTTAATTAAAAACTTTTAAATATATGAATGAATAGCTAAATAGATAGGAGAGTGCCTTAACTTCAACTGTACTTAAAGTTAACAAATGTGTTGAAAATCCTGTAAATTGCCGTAAAAGGTGGGTCAGTGTTAAGGATAAAAGTGACTACAAATACTTATTTAAGAAAAATAAATGACTTCATTTATAGTTAAGTATTTTCCATGACTTTCATTAGTATTATTTTGGTTTAAAAAATCCTAATTCATATTGTGTTCATATTTTTCTTAAAGAAAAATTTCATTTAATGATTGAACTTAAAAATGCTTTCTTATTAAATTAATTATGTAATTTAGTCGAATGTGTTTATATGAAGTATTCAGTCATTTATCAAATAGTTATGTATTGGTGTGTTTAGTTTTTTAATTTAAAGCTAAAATTTAGTTTTTTCACTCATTTAATGAATGTTTTGCAAAAAATATAAGTTTAATTATTATTTTATTAGATATAAATGGATACATTCAAATTCAAATGTTTGTTTTACTAATGATTCATGTAATATAATTATATATATATCAGAATTAATTAAAACAAAATAGATTTCCAAACTTTGAAAATAGTAATTAATAAAACAAATCCTAAATAATGACTTGTTTTTGCAAAACTCATATCAAGAATGTGCCGAAAATATAATCATTTTCTTTGACGACAATTAATTATAATTAATGAAATCAATTAATGTATAGAAAACAATAACTTTTAGTAATTTGTTTAAACCTAAGGTATGTTTAATACATATATAATAAATACAATGTAATTTAATGTTTAACTTAAAAAAGTCATCGACTTTTACTTGAAAAACAAACTAAAAATTTCTAGTCTTAAGAATTGTATAAAAATGTAGAAAAATAAAATTAAAAATATATGTTATTTCCAATTATTATCAAAAAGAATATTAATAATTAAAATGTTTTAACTGTTTCTATTACTAAATGGTAATTGTGTTATAAAATAAATTTATATTTAAAAATATTCTTTCAGTTTATGTAATTCTATACATTAAAACTGTTTTACAACTAATGTAATGTATTGGTTAAAGAATTGAATACAAATGTCAACTTATAAAATAAATTGAATAGAATTAACTACTGTCAATTTTCAATTAATAAAACAAATGTACAGTAATTTTTAAACTAATTGCCGTGTTTTTATTTATTAAAGCATCGATTTATTTTAAAATAATTTCTCTATGAATTTACCGTAAATAAAATGAATCATTAAATCTCGTTTGTTTATTACCAGGTTTCATAGTAAATAATAGAGTAATGTTTTTAACTTATATTTTTCCTAAATAAAAAATAGATCTCTTACAGTTAATATAAATATTATAATAAAAGTTTAACACCATTATTTATTTGCCTTATGTTAAACTCTAACATTTTAAACTGTTTCACCTATTTTCGATTTGTATTAATTGTTTAGTGAGTGAGTACGAGAGAGAGAGAGAGAGAGAGAGAGAGAGAGAGAGAGACTAGTGAATTGTAATCGTTTTAAGTCCTAAAAAGATAACATAAGACTATTGAGTGAATTATCTGTTAATTTAATTGTAATAGTATTGCGACCCATATATCAAAGATTGTTTGTTTAAATGCGACACATCTCTAATGAGGTTACCCTCCCATCCCCTAATCTATTGAGGTATTTGTTTGTGTTTTGCAGAATATTTGAAAAACATAGTATATTAAATGTATAATAAATTATTTAATTATATTAAAAATTATTAACTTTATTATACGTATTATATACTGTATATACTTAACTATTTAAATATATTTTAATTAATTAACTTAAAATGGCACTAAAACTAATTAAGTTGTTTGTTACTTTTCAAATACTGTTTTGGATTAGATCAATATTCTTAGATTTTTTTAAAAACAATATCACATATTTTAATAATGTTTTTAAAAGTATAATTATTCATAAGAAGCGGTATTTGATTTTGATTTGTGAGAATATTATTCATAAAGTATTTTGTAGTAGAAGTAATTTTAACAAATGATTTTTGAGATAACATATTAAATATAAAAACTATTAATAATATCTTTTTTTAAACTAAAAGGGAGTGAGTTATACAAAAATTATGGGAATTTTCCCAATTTTAATATCAATACAATTGATTTATCAGAAAAAATATAATTAATAATACTTTAAATATAATTTTTTGAACAAAAAAGGGAGAGATAGGATGGTGGGCCGGCATAAGGTCTGCGTCCGACAACTCTCTCTAAATAAATGGTTTATTTAGCGAAACCCGAGATTCTTATCGCAGGAATATTCACCAGAGATTCAACGAGTGGCACACAATTTAATGTCTAAAACATTTAATATATAAATTTGTGGTTGACTTCCAGATAATAGGTGACGGGTCCTAAGAATACGCAACACTTGCATCGCTCAGTCGATGAGATGCCGGCGCCGCGCACCGCCAGAAGTGAGTCAACCATTTAATTCGTAATATATTTATAGCCAAATATAACAAATTGACTGCTTTTTTAAATGTAAATTTGTTGCCTTAATCTAACGGCAGGTCTAGTACTACAGCGCTAATAGTCTGTAATACGCATTGAAAGCTAAATGTTAATACAATTTTCTCCCCGGTATTTATCTCTCAGTATTTTTTTGTGTGCGACACTCAGTCCATGGCTACGGCTATGGCATCGATCAGTCGAGCATTAAGTTTGCAATTCTGTGTTCAGCGCCGGGAGAGAGTGGATGAGAGCGCAGAGAGATTTTTCCCGAGAGATTCAATACGATAGAGGATTGAAAAATAAATTTTTAGGTTTTTATTTTTTTGAGTCCACTGTCGATGGTATTGGACAACAAATGTGTCGAACATTTTGAATTTTAAATACATTGTAGTGTTTAGAGGTTTTTGGTCTCGTTTTGGTATTAAAAATTATAGGCAAAACCTTTACCACTCTCTCGCGTGTAATCTCATTATCCCTTATTATACACTCGATTGGACTCTTTTCGGTGGCAAATGTTGGACCCAAACACTGATGCCTTGTTTGCGGTTTTTAAAGCGTATGTATTATCATATTTCATTATATAATGAATAGCTTTTAAATCAATGAATTTTATTGTTGAATAAGATTTGGACGAAAGACGAAACAAGACTTAATTTAATAATTGTTAATCGTTTGGCAAACATAATGATTGTAAGGGACTGATGAAAGAGTTTTAGATTTCCAGAAACCAACTAGTGATGTATGCATTTGTTATTTAAACAGAGTATATTCAACACTGGTATTTAAAAGTTTATTAGAAACATTAATGATTAAAGTACTGTAGCATTTAGTGAATATTACTTTATTAATCATAAATTTATATATTAAAATTAATGAAAATACTACAATAAATATACTGTATGCTTTGTCAAAGTAAACAAAATATTTGAATCAATTAAATACTAGTGCTGTAGATTACTAATAAGTTTAGTACTATAATACATCACTATTTTGGAGATTTTAAAAATTCTGTACATGCCTGCTCTACATAATTGATGATTTTTTTAAATATTAGGTTTTATATTAGTTTAAAAATCATAATATATTTATTATTAGTTAATATTTGGTCTAAAAATTATTGCTCAAACAAATCGTGCCGATAATCTATTGTGTAGTTTATTTGATAATGTTTTTCCAGTTTACGAGACTCTGTATTGACTCTTCCGTTCTCTCTCTCCTGTGGCAAATGTTGGACCCAAACACTGATGCCTTGTTTGCGGTTTTTAAAGCGTATGTATTATCATATTTCATTATATAATGAATAGCTTTTAAATCAATGAATTTTATTGTTGAATAAGATTTGGACTTTAAAGACGAAACAAGACTTAATTTAATAATTGTTAATCGTTTGGCAAACATAATGATTGTAAGGGACTGATGAAAGAGTTTTAGATTTCCAGAAACCAACTAGTGATGTATGCATTTGCTATTTAAACAGAGTATATTCAACACTAGTATTTAAAAGTTTATTAGAAACATTAATGATTAAAGTATCATTTAGTGAAATAGACATGAATATTACTTTATTAATCATATATGACTGTTAAAATTGAGGAAAATACTACAATAAATATACTGTATGCTTTGTCATAGTAAACAAAATATTTGAATCAATTAAATACTAGTGCTGTAGATAACTAATAAGTTTAGTACTATAATACATCACTATTTTGGAGATTTTAAAAATTATGTACATGCTTGCTCTACATAATTGATGATTTTTTTAAATATTAGGTTTTATATTAGTTTAAAAATCATAATATATTTATTATTAGTTAATATTTGGTCTAAAAATTATTGCTCAAACAAATCGTGCCGATAATCTATTGTGTAGTTTATTTGATAATGTTTTTCCAGTTTACGAGACTCTGTATTGACTCTTCCGTT